TCCTTGCTCGCTACTCCACTGTCCTCCCGTGTCCGGCGGCCCCGTCAGGCTCCCTGTCTGGTCTCTACCTCCCCTCGTTCTCCACGAACTTGGTGAGTGGTGCTGACCTTCAGGATGCCGGAGTTGACCAGTTCACTCCTGCAGGTCAGCGAGTGACCCACTGCACGTGTGCTCAGACGGGCCGCCACTTGGCCTCGTTTACCCGTCGACCGGGGTCGAGCCTGTACACACTGACCACAGAGTCTCCTCCGGTTGCTGCGTCTGGTCAGGTAGCTGCGTCGAGTCAGGTGTTTGCTGCAGCGTCTCGGTCAGGTCCTGAGTCTGCCCCCTGCTCGTGTCGCCTCCTGTCCCACCAGACCCTCCTCTGGCACCACCGCCTTGGTCACCCCTCCTTGCCTCGTCTCCGAGGCATGGCCTCCCGTGTCCTTGTCTCTGGTCTCCCCCGGTCCCTCCCTCCCCTTCCCCCGGGGCCTGCCCCTACCTGCGTTCCCTGCGTCGAGGGGCGGCAGCGCGCCGCTCCTCACTCCTCCGAGTTTCGCCCGACAGAGGCTCCGCTGCAGACTCTTCACATGGACGTGTGGGGCCCAGCCCGCGTCCGTGGACAGGGTCACGAGCGTTACTTCCTGCTGGTGGTTGACGACTACTCGCGTTACACCACTGTCTTCCCCTTGCGCAGCAAGGGTGAGGTCACTGAGGTGTTGATCGACTGGATCCGCGTTGCTCGTCTCCAGCTCAGAGAGCGTTTCGGCTCGGACTTTCCTGTTCTGCGTCTGCACTCCGACAGAGGCGGAGAGTTTTCCTCCGACCTTCTGCGAGCCTTCTGTCGTGCGGAGGGCATCCGCCAGACGTTCACGCTTCCGGCCTCTCCACAGCAAAATGGGATTGCTGAGCGCCGCATTGGCATGGTCATGGATGTCGCTCGTACGTCCATGATCCATGCGGCTGCTCCCCATTTTCTGTGGCCGTTCGCGGTTCAGTACGCGGCGCATCAGATCAACCTTCAGCCCCGGGTCTCCCTGCCGGAGACCTCCCCTACTCTGCGGTGGACGGGGAAGGTTGGTGATGCGTCTGGGTTCCGTGTCTGGGGATCTCGAGCTTTCGTCCGAGACTTGTCTGCGGACAAGCTGTCCTCCCGTGCTGTTCCTTGCGTCTTCTTCGGCTTTCCCCCTGACGCGCCTGGTTGGCAGTTTTACCACCCCACCTCGCGCCTGTCCTCCCAGGACGTCACGTTTGACGAGTCGGTTCCGTACTACCGTCTCTTCCCCTACCGCACTGCCCCCCTCCCCCCCCCGCCGCTCTTCCTCGCTCCCGGTCCCCCCCCGGTAGACCCCCTCCCCCCTCAGGGTCCTGCCCCCTCAGGTGTGTCCCAGGTAGATGCAGTCGAGCCTGTCGAGGTAGCTGCTGACTCTGGTGCGTCTGGGGGTGCTGAGCCTGAGCGTGCGGAGCCTGGGGGTGCTGGGTCTGGGGGTGCTGAGCCTGAGCGTGCGGAGCCTGGGGGTGCTGGGTCTGGGGGTGCTGAGCCTGAGCGTGCGGGGCCTGGGGGTGCTGCTTCTGGGGGTGCTGAGCTTGGGGCTGCTGGGAGTGGGGGTGTGGAGCCTGTCGGTGCTGGACCTGGCGGTCCTTCGGGTGCTTTGTCCCGGCGGGAGCTTCCCTCTCCACAGGAGCTGCGCGAGTGGTTTGCTCGCCGCTGGAGCCGTGCTGCTGGAGCTGGAGGTGCTGCCGGTGCTGGAGGTTCTGCTGCTGCTGGAGGTTCTGGAGCTGGAGGTGTTGCTGGAGCCGGTACTGGAGGTTCTGCTTCTGCTGGGGGTGCTGGAGCCACGGGTCCCGGAGGTGCTCGTACTGGAGGTACTGGAGCTGCTGGGCCTGGTGGTGCTCCTGGTGCTGGAGCTACTGGTGGAGCTGGAGCTGGTGGTGCTGCTGCAGTGGGTGCTACTGGAGGTACTGGAACCGGAGCGGCTGTGTCTGCTGGTGGTCCTGCTAGAGCTGGAGCTGCTGGAGGTACTGGAGCTGGTGGTGCTGCTGGAGTTGGAGCTGACGCTGGGGGTACTGGTGTTGTCCCTGCTGGTTCTGGAGGTGCTGCGCGGCCGCGGCCGTACTTCGTTCCGCTCCTTGAGCAGGTTCTTGGTCTTCCGCCTTCTCCTAGTCCTGCTCCTTCCTTAGAGTGTCCTCCGCCTGTCCAGTCCGAGTCACAGTTACAGCTGGTCTCCCCTCTGCCTGCTCCTTCTCCCTACGCTGGTCCTACTGGAGGTCTTGCTGAGCGTCGTGAGCCTGAGTCGCGTCCTGCGTCGCCTGTTCGCACTGCTCGCACTAGTCATCGTGTTCCACGTCCGCGTCCTCCTGCAGTCCCGGGCACGCATCAGATGGCACTGCGTCCTTCCACTGCGCCACAGCGTGTCCCTTTGCCGTCTCCTCCAGAGTCCTCTCTTCCTGCTCTTGCTGACCCGGCATCTGACTCCCTTCGTGCTGCCAGTCCTACTGTCACGCGTTTCCTAGCCACTGTTGTCACTGACCCTTCCTTTGAGTCCACTGTTGCGTCTGCCTTAGTTACCGAGCTTGTCGACTTCGCTGCTCACTGTCGTCTAGACTACGCCGCTAGTCTTGTTGCTGAGTCTGCGTCTACGTCTGTCTGTCCTCCGTCCGTCGGGGGTGAGTGTGCTCTTAGCACGGACGTCCTTGAGGACCGACAGGAGGAGTTCCAGTGTTTTGCTGCTGCTTTACCTCATCTCGTGTCCACGCTGCTTGCCCCTGAGGGAGACCCGGATGCACCAGACATCCCGACCCCGCGCTCTTACGCAGAGGCGATAGAGGGTCCTTACTCCTCTCAGTGGCAGACAGCCATGGACGCAGAGATGGCTTCCTGGAAGTCCACAGGCACCTACGTCGACGAGGTTCCCCCACCTGGGGCGAACATCGTCAGTGGCATGTGGATTTTCAGGGTGAAGCGGCCGCCGGGTTCTCCGCCTGTCTTCAAGGCGCGTTACGTGGCTCGAGGCTTCAGTCAGCGGCAGGGAGTTGACTACTTTCAGACCTTCTCCCCGACCCCGAAGATGACCACTCTTCGGGTTCTGCTGCACGTTGCTGCTCAGCGTGACTACGAGCTTCACTCCCTTGACTTCAGCACTGCTTTCCTACAGGGCAGTCTGCACGAGGAGATCTGGCTGCGCCGCCCACCTGGCTTCACTGGGTCGTTTCCTCCTGGTACCCAGTGGAGACTCCGGCGGCCAGTCTACAGTCTCCGCCAGGCACCACGTGAGTGGCACGACACACTGAGGACTACGCTTGCGGCTCTTGGGTTTGCTCCTTCCACTGCTTACCCGTCGCTGTTTCTTCGCACCGACACTTTGCTGCCGCCGTTCTACATCCTCGTGTACGTCGACGACTTGGTGTTTGCTACAGCTGACACTGCTGGACTCGCCCACGTGAAGTCCGAGCTGCAGAAGAGACACACGTGCACAGACCTGGGTGAACTGCGCAGCTATCTTGGCTTGCAGATCACCCGGGACAGAGCACGGCGCACCATTACTCTGACTCAGTCACACATGGTGCAGCAGGTCCTTCAGCGCTTCGACTTCACGTACTCCTTGCCTCAGGCCACTCCTCTGTCTACTCGCCACTCGCTCTCAGCTCTGCCTTCGGATGAGTCCGTAGAGCCGAGTGGCCCGTACCCAGAGCTTGTTGGCTGCCTCATGTACCTGATGACCTGCACTTGACCTGACCTAGCATACCCTCTGAGCATCTTGGCACGCTATGTTGCTCCTGGGAGACACCGACCAGAGCACATGGCTGCAGCGAAGAGGGTGTTGCGCTACTTGTGCAGTACTTCGGGCTTGGGGCTAGTGCTTGGAGGGCGGAGTCCAGTGGTCCTCACTGGTCACGCAGACGCGTCTTGGGTTGACGACCTGGCTACTCAGCGGTCGTCACAGGGTTACACCTTCAGCCTTGGTTCCGGCTCTGTTTCGTGGCGGTCTACTCGCTCGTCTTCTGTTCTCAGCTCCAGCTGTGAGGCTGAGATCTACGCAGGGGCCATGGCTGCACAGGAGTTACGCTGGCTCACCTACTTGCTGACTGACCTGGGAGAGCCGCCTCGTTCTCCTCCAGTTCTGTACGTACACAACAAGGCTATGCTGGCCTTGTGTCGGGAGCACAGACTGGAGCACAGAACGAAGCACATTGCTCTTCGCTACTTCCTTGCTCGTGAGCTGCAGCAGCGTGGTCAGCTGCGCCTTGCTTACGTGGCCTCTCAGGCCAACACTGCTGATATCTTTACCAAGGCACTTCAGCCTTGTGATCATCAGCGCTTCTGTACTATGCTAGGTCTTGTGCCTACTTGGCCTCACTTGCTTACCTCTTGACTTTCCTTGTACTGTGATCTATATATACCTGCACTTGCTTGTTTACCTTTATATATGAACTTGCATGTGAACTCGCCTTGTGGCCTTTGAACCGGTGCTCAGACTGTGTGGTGACTTTGTGATCCACCCTGAGCTTGCTTTGCTTTGCTTTGCTTGACTGGTCTTGTGACCCCTAGTTCTCCCCCACTTTGCCTATGGGGGTGTGTCAAATGTATATGCCTTAGCCTATATAGGCTGTAGTGGGGTAGTTCCTAGAGGGTACAACACTTTTGTGTTCTCTATTTGTACCCACCTCATTTCTAGTTCAATCATTCCTGTTTAATTCTTCACACAAGGAAACCAAGTAAACATTTCGTCTCGCAGAGCTAGACGAAACCAGGTATCTTAAATAACCTACGGGCGGCTCGGCTCACCCCCTATAAGGTCGAACGTGCAAAATCGAACTTGGGTGTGTGGTTGTGCTTCAGCCGTTTGCGAGACGCGCGGATCTAACTTTGCCATCAACGAAAGTCGAATTTTGTTCACCTCATGTTCAAATGCTACATTTCATTTTAAAAGGCAAACTTATACCAATAATAAAATCCCACACGCCCTAAGGTTCCAAAACAGTAGAGCTGTTATGGATGCTTGGTTGTAAAGCATCATGCTCTAGTTAAACGCCAGGTAATCAATTTCTTGGATATGCTATCATGCACATGTGTCCCCTGCTGATCGAGGGACATTCTAACATGGTCCACAGCCCAACGTTTCGGCCCTTTGTGGGCATAGAGATGCACTACAAACTCTAAACCCTGAAGTCTATTGTGCTGGAGGTGCAGCACGCCACCATGGAAATAGCTTCTTCAAGTTCTGCGCCCGCCACTTCCTCTTGTCACTAAAAGATCCCAACCTCTCAGAACCCCCACATTCCCTTGATATATCCCACATGCTAGACCGGTTACTTGCATCGCCTTCATCCGTATAAAGCCTAACAAAAGCTCTGTGGTCAATCTGGCATGGCTCGTCCCAGGAAGTTACAGCAGGAGTGGCCAGTGGTGAAACAAGGTGACCGGACGACGATACTGGAGCAGATTTCAGCCTTCGCCCGCCAGTAGCATGCGGCGACAAGCCGTCAGGACTGGGGGGCACCTCAAGGGCCGACCTGTGCTGCCACTTTTGCTGCTTCTTATGCAGGCTGTAACGATCAGGAGCGGTGCTGCTGGGTGCCATGGGTTTAGAAGGGACATGGTAGATGCGCATGCTGCCGGATTCACTCACACACGAGCCATCCCCAGACAGAACACGCATGCACGCCTTCTCCTCCTCTCGCCCCTCATGGCCCGGAGGTGCGGCTGTGATGCCCTGCTGCTGCTTCGGGGCATGGATTGGGACATCAGCACGGCGGCGGGGCGATGCACTGGAGGCGGGCTGAGCGTGGCCGGCATCAGAAGAGACATAAAAGGACGCATTTGTCAGGTCAGGGGTGGTATGTGGGAGGCCGTAGCACTTGCCAATCACTCTGCGTGGACTAGCGGCCTTGGGCGACGATGGCTTGGCGTGTGTGAGGCCAGAAGAGCCCCTAGGTAGAGATGCCTGATGCTCTGCTGGCGGGGAGAGTGAATACGTGAACTTTCTTGAATGGGTCGACTCTCTTGTCCAAGGTGAGTTGATTGAGTGTGGGTCTTGGCTTGGCTGAGGCGATTGCATTGATCGAGGCGAATGCTTTGACTGAAGCGACCTCATTGAGTGAGAGGCGTCCCTTGGGTCAGGCAGCTGTATTGACGGAGGCGACTGCCTGGGCTGCGATGACTGCCTCGACTGGGGAGACTGCATTGACCGAGGGGACTGCATTGGCTGAGGCACCTGCACTGATGGTGGGAACTGCTTTAGCGGAGGGGACTGCTTCAATTGCGGAGGATTGCTCGACTGAGGGGACTGCCGTGACCGAGGCGACTGCTTCGACTGAGGCGACAGCCTTGACTGAAGCGACTGTATTGATTGGGAGTATAGATCTGGGTGCTCGTAGCTCATGAGCGGAGAAGATCGCATCGCCGGCAGGCGAGGAGAGGGCGGCTGTAGCGGCGACGGGACGGGACGAGCCACTGGAATTGGCCTTCCACTCCTCACACCCGGCTGCCCGTGCCACCCTGCATGGGCGCCCTCTGCAGCGCGCAGGGAGGGGCCATGAGAGGACGAGCTTAACGGCGACGGCGGAGAGCGGTGCAAGGCGAGCTCGCTCGCGGCTCTCTGCTTCAACCCCGCGGCCTCCAGGTGGATCGAGTCCATAGAATGCCGCCGCCGCCGCCGCTGCCGCGGTACGTCTCCCTCCCCAACCCCAACCTCCAGCTGCTGCCAGCCGTCATTCCCCACAGTGGCGTGGCGTGAGATGCTGCTGCGGCTGTCCGTGCTGGCCAGGCTGTCTGAGCGCTGCACAGACTCCCTCCGCGCGACAAGCAGGCGCTTGATGGCGGGCAGCGCGCCTCTCGACTCTTTGGGGGAGGACGGCTGCGACACACACTCCCTCTGCACGTACAGCTCCTCCCACAACCGATCCATGTCCCCGCCCTCCTCCGCTTGCCCCGTTTCTGGCCCCTCTAGGTGCGCGGAAACCCCGAAAGGGCTCTGAACCACCGCGGGAGGCGTGGGGTGCCACCCTTCTGCTGCGTCATCCCCCCCTTCTGCTTCCCCCCCACTCCTACCACCCCCTTCTACCTCAGCCTCCGCTCCTGCTCTCCCCTCCCTTTCCTTCCCCGCCGCATCTCCTTGCGATTGGGTGTTTGAGAATCCGCTGATGCTCCAGGAGGGGGCGAGCACGCAGCCCGGGGCAGCAAGAGTGAGTTGCGTCTGCGAGCTGCTCGCGGGAAACCAACCGGCGGTGCTGCTGGTGGTGCTGCTTCCCCCGTTGCCGCTCCCCATGAGCCACAGGTTCATGCTAAACTCCTCCTCTTGCGCGCGCCTAGACTCACCCCTCCCCTGCCCCTTCTTGCCCTCCTCCCCTTCCCCCGCCCCGTGCTCCTCATGGCCCAGCCGAGGAACCACAAACCCCTCTCCCCCACTGTCAACGCCCTCTGACTCGGAATGATCTGGGCCGTTCATCTCAGGAACTTGCGTGCTGGGGAGCGTAAAGCCGACTGGGAGCTGATCGGGTGCGATCGAAGGCTCTGATTGGTCAGGAGTTAAGATGGCACGTGTCGAATGTGTGCCGTCCGATTCCTCCTCATCGCCTGTCTCTAGGCTAGGATCACTGGCGGGGAGATCGCTTGGAAGGAAACGGTCAACGTCAGACCAGAGGGAAGGATACGCGTTGCCCCGGGGGCTCGTCCGAGCCTGACGGTGCTTCGACGGACTCTGCAGAGGCGCCAAGACGTCGGTGCTCTCGGTGCAGTCGTATTCTGCCACGTCAGCGTCAATCTTCGTGCTGAAGTCGGCAGCACAAGTGCAACGGGATAGAAAGAAGCGGAAACGAATCAAGGGAAGCAAATGTACATCTTGGAATTCATGAAAGAGAAAACGGTAACGAGGACTGGGGAACGGGAACATGAGTGACGATTAAGAACGAAAGTTATGTTCTTCCGCTGCAGCATCAGCTGACGCCAGTGCTCGACCACAAGCTCAAGCTCAAGGTCAAGCCAAGCCGACGGGGAACGAAAGCACTTTGCGCTACACAAGCAACAACAGAGAACATGTTGAGCAAGTAGATCTGCGTTGAAAATAAAAATATTTAGCTTTGCGAGATGGAAATGCAGGAGATCCTAGCAGGGTCAGTTCATGAGGTGCATCAAGAACAATTTTGCTATGTAGTACAAGCAATGCAGACGCTTGCTAGGTGAGCGACGACCGATCGACGGCTGCGATGAATCTGGGCGCACCTAGTGGCTTGTGGACGGCTCCCTAGCGAGGTGAGCGAGGTCTTCAGGGCTTCCTTGAATTGCGTCGTTTTCGACACCATCTCCCCCGCGATATTCGCAGTCTTCGACACCACCGCTTCAGATCTGGATACGAATTCTGCACCCACGGCCTTCGTTCTCGACGCCATTTCCTCGCCTAAGACCGCTGTCTTCGATACTAGTTGCTTCCTCATCGTTGACACGCGATCATTGAGCGAATTTGCTTTCTTATATACTTAATTGTCGGCTGCTTTGGCCTTTGGCGACAAATCCATGGCTGGAGACGCAGATTGAGCTACCACGGATTCGTGGGTCTCACCTTCATCCATCAGTCGTAAGGATCCTGCCAGGTAACTTAACCAGTTTCTGTCAGGTAGGCCCGTATTCTCAGTAGGTCAAGAGCCTTTAATCAATGTATCCGTACTTATGCTTCTACGTAGATCCTACCCAATATCTAAGCAAACCGCTGCGTTTCCTTAGGGCGTGTCTCCATTTTGATTTTAGGCAATTTTCCGGACGGTTCACTTTTTTGGTACCAGACGGTCCGAATAGCGAGAACCGGACTGGAATATATATTGCACTGCCTGCGTCAGCAGGCAGTGCAATGAGTCAGCGGGCAAGGAAAAAAATAAAACCCACTCGGAAGGCATGCCATTCGGGAGCCTCAACCCTAAGTTGAGGCTCCCGAATGGCATGGAGTCCGAATGGGTTTTAGTTTTTTTCTGCCCGCGGTCAGCATGCTGACTCACTCGGTAGCGTCGTCAATCGAAATGGTAGCGCTACCGAGCGCTACTGACGCTACCAAGTGCAATATATTGTCCGAATTGCCATTCGGAACTTTGCCCCGTCCGAGTGCAAGACTGTCACCTTTTTCAGTGTTTTGAATTTCCCGAAGTGTTGTAGCCTCGCTAGAGACTATGTAGCGTCGTTACACAATTTACGACAGCTCTATTTCGTGAGCCAATCTGATTGCATATTTTCAGAAAAAGTCGTGCGCCAATCTCTAGTTATTACTGCTGCACCGTCCGTCTGGTTTCCGAATTGTCAAGTGTTCAGATTCTGAACCGTTGAAAGGAGTAAAAAGTGACGCGACGGTTCGGATGTTGACGATGTCGCACAAACTTTCGCGAAAGACGTCACGATATGATGCGACGCTGGTAACGGTTTCGCAGTTCGGACCGTCCACGGTTCGAACCGTCGGGGGCAAAATAGAGACACGCCCTTACAACTAGCCATGGTGGAATGGCACGAGGATGCACAGGAGGGAGAAGCCTTGTGCTTTGAAATGGAAGACTGGAAACAGCAAGCAAAAATAGGCGAGAAGGCTGTGTACAGAGATTCCTCGTCTGCATTTGCATTGCACCCAGATTCCTGCATTTCCAAGCCCAAGGCGACCTGCCTGACCTGACACTCAACTCAACTCGACCAACCCCAATCCCAACGCAACAGCTGTCGTCGGGATTCCCTCCGCTCCAATCCCTCCACCTCGCTCCAAACCACTCCACTCCAAGGCACTCCGCCCCGTACACGACGCACAAATCACTGTATGGCGCTACAGTACCCTTGGGACTGCACTGTAGATCTGTTTGTGGTTGAGTGCGGTGGAGCGGTCTCGAATTCTGTTCGTGGAGCCCAGGGTGGACAGGTGTTCTCATTTAGACGGTTGGTCGGGCCAAGCATGACCAGTACGGACGGTGGATCTCGTTGGCGGGTTGAATTTCCGTGATCAACGCAAGGAACGAATATTTTGATCGTCTCAAACGAAGAGCTAACGACAGCGTATGGTAACCAGGAAAAGTGGGGCTCGTTCTCCCCATCTTGCAGGAGTGTATTTCAATAGCTATTGAGTGCTGCTGCGTTGTCTCGCTTTTACACCACAGCACTGCCCTAACACGCCTGGTCATTGTTCGTCCCTGCCGCCTCGACATTATGGGGTCGTTAGGTTTCACTGTCAGTCCACCTATCGTGCGGAATAAGATTGTTCATCTCGTGTCGCCATCGCTATCACGCGGATCCAGTTACTCGAGACCACATGCATGCTCCCACAGCTTTGATCAAGCTCATGAGAAGAAGCATCATGTTCCTTTCAAACCTCAAAGCTTTCGATCGACAGTTATCATTGGCTATCAATGTTCTTCAAACACAAGGTCGAATCGGCTAGTCACTCGAGCCGAGGGTTCGAACAGACCCGAATCTGGAGGTTCGGCAGCGGACCTCGCTGCCTTGGAGGAGGGCGAGCCTTGGCTCGGCGCCGTTGTCTACCGACGTAGCGCGGCTCGTCAGGAATTCGTCTTCGTTACCTCTCTGGAGCGCCTCGCGCTTCCGCATCTCTCCTCCGCGGCGTCCCGCGCGCAGGCCGCGGAGACACTGATGGCGGAAATTCCGCAAGATGAGCGCACGGGAGCCGATGGAGAGGGGGAGGCGGAGGGTACAGCTGTGGTGGTGCGCATGCGTTCTTCTAAAGTGGGACGCGATATAAGGCTGGACGGCACTGCGCAGACGGTGTTCGCCATGCAGTGCCACAGGTGAGCTTATAACAGGAACATATTAGTTCCACTCAAATGTCCCGCTCGCCCTTACTCCCCTATCCCGCCCCATCCCTCACTCCTCGTTCTCTCCTCTACCCTAATCCGCAAATCCCAACCCCTTCTCCCGTCCTCGCCAGGTGCTTATGCCCTGTTACCGAGCCCATCTATAGCGAGTTCAGCCTGCTACTCTCCGCGTCGCCCCTCCACGAGCCCACCAAGCGCAGCCTAGGGGTCATCCTTGACGCGCCTTCCTCCAGCTTTAACTCGCTCCCTGCCGACTATGACGATGGCGATGAGGGTGACATGCTAGACCTAGACTTAGACGATAAGCTCTACTTCCCCGCGGACCAGCGGACTATAGATGTCTCTAAGTACGTGCGCGACACGGTGCACCTGGAGATCCCTCTCAAGGTCCGATGCAGCCCCGGGTGCCGAGGCATGTGCCTCGGGTGCGGCGCGAACCTCAACGTGAAGGAATGTGCCTGCGGGGCAGACGAATGGGGAATTGGGGGCGGCGGCAGCAAGGGGCAAGCGGCAGGGGGCGGGCAAGGGCAAGGGCTGGATGGGTTTGGGGTGGGGAAAGGGAAGATGAAGGGCATGGGGATGGGGGGGGTGAAGGGGGGAAAGGCAGGGGGCAAGGGATCATTGAAGGAGCAGCTGGAGCAGCTGTACAGGCGCGAGGACGATCGGGGTGCTGGCGGTGGTGAGCAGCAGCAGGAGCAATGATATGGAGCAGGCAGGATGCATGGGCACACTAGGGCAGCAAGGCAGCATGGTCCAGCGTGAGACTTGACATTATTCCTCCCCACATCAGATCTGTGGCCAACTGCTGTGTTCATGTTCAGGCTGATGTGTCAAAATGTTATAATGCTTACATTGTGTAGGCTGTAGTGGGGTAGCCCATAAGGGGTACAACCCAATTAGGGTTAGGGTACATTCCGCTGTGGACACTGTCCCAATCGATGTGTCCCAATCGTTTCTACCGCACTGCATCGTAATACACCAAATTGCACCATCGTTTCGAAATTTTCGCGTCTCTGGTTTAGTTCGGTTCGGAGCGGTACACTCGATTGGGACACATCGATTGGGACAGTGTCCACAGCGGAATGTACCCTTAGTACTTGTACCAACTTTCTGTTTCAATGCATTCATTCTCGTTCAGTATTCTGATATGGTTTCATAGCAGGTCTTGTTCCAGGGCCGTTTTTTTTTCTAGGGCCCACCGCATAGCGCTGCCCCACTAGTTGCGTCGCCCTGCCCTACCTGTCGCGTCGCCCTGCCCTGCCTGTCGCGTCGCCCTGCTGGCTGTCGCGTCGCCCTGCTGCCCGCGCGCCGCATTGCTGGCAGCCGCGCCGCCAGGCCCCTAGATTCGTTTTGGGACACTCTGATCGGTCAGCGTGCACCCTTCTCTGGACTCTGTCAGTCAGAGTTGCCTGAAATTTTGAGGCTGGAAATTCAGACAACACTACATTTTTAAGGTTGAACATTCAGAGTTACAATCAAATTGAAGGCAGATGACTTATATACCGTACTCCATTAAAGAAACATTTCAACTATCTGACTCAGATTCTGACAGATGACTATCTACACAGCTGCCCGCTCAACTACTAGCTCCTCTACAAGCTCCTTCCCAGGCCTTGGGGGCTCCCTGTGTCTTGCAGCAGGTGCTGTGACTGGCCGG